GCTGGTAGTTCGCGGGCGTGACCAGGGCGAGCATCCACAGCTCGGCCGTCGCAAAGGCGGTGCAAGCGGCAGCGGCCTCAGCATCGAGCCCCGCCGACCTCTTGGTTCCAGAATTGTCGCCGGCGCAGATTTCTGGAGCCACGTCGCTGGGGCTTGTCGCAGTCGGCTTCTCAACCATAAGCTTGAAGGCCCTAGCGCTGGCCAGAGATGGAGCAGCGAGAGGCAGTGTGTCCCGAAACCTCTGCCCCTGCTGCTGCGGTGAATGCGCGTGTTGAGGAAAGCCTCGACAACGCTTGCCCGGCCTGCCAGGGTGGGTGAACATGGCCTCAATCAGCCACAGCGCGAAGGTGAGCGGGGTCAAGCCATCCTCGAGAGCCGCTGCGAGCCTGGTCTTCCAGGTTTTCAAATCAGAAATACCTTTTAGCGTCCAGGGCCAGCTCGCTCCGCCGCTGGCTCTCGACGAACTTGCCTCGGTGTCGAACATCGCCTCCGAGCGGCCGCCCAAGGGGTGGCAGCCTTCTGGTTCGGAGCCGTGTCCTGCTTGTCCGAGCCTTCCAATATGACCTTGCGAGCGCCCCCCTGGGCTGGCGGCGTCTGCTTCCTCAGTATCTGAGCCGGGCGCTGCCGGTGCTGGCCCTGGGCCTCGCTGTCCTGCCTGGGGCTCTGAAGCTTCAAATCCTTGTGCGTCTTGGAAGGCCGGTGCGCGTTCGGGGCTCGCGGAGGCTAGCGACTCGCGCCCGCCGCCACTGCAGTGCGCGCCGCCCCCTGAAAACCTGATGGCGAGGTGTGCCTCCAAGCTCTCCTTCCTTGGGGTGGCCAACGGGGTCAGCCGCCGAACTTCCTGGGGCCATCCTCCCGCCGAGCCCCTAGCCCACGGGATTGAGCCTGCCCGCGAGCTCGGCGAGCTTCAACTCCTCGTGCTCGATCTTCCTCAAGAGCTCCTCGTCCTCGACGTTGATGGCAGCCGTGTCGGCGTCGGGGTGTGTGTGCTTCAGCCAGCGCGCGCTCCGCCCGTACTTGTCCTTGCTGGCGAGCTGGATGGCCTTGAACGTCTGCGTCGGCATGTCCATGTCCCCAAGGAGTCTGCCCTGGGGCCGAAGTTCCAGGGTCTCGGACAGTGTGCGCATCTCTCTGAACGGGCCTTCGCCATTTGCTGACGCGCAGGATGAGAGGCAAGGAAGACATTCAGCATGTACTTATTGACGATAGCGGGGAGCTCCTCACCAGCCTCATGGGTGCCCTTCGAACTCAAGAACTGTCTTGTGCCGTCGACAACTTGCCGGGCGAATCGCGGGCAACGCCCCTGAAAAAAACGCCCGAGGGGCAGCCGGCGACCTCCCGGGCGCGAGCTCCGGGCCGTCGGTGGCGCCGAAGCCCTCGGAGCCCTCGCCCTGCGACGGCGCCCCCAGCAGCGAGCGCAGCAGGTGGGCAGCGGACCCGCCGCCGTCGCGCCCCAGGGCAGCAGGCGCCGCCCCCTCGCCGCTGCCGACCGCGCCCGCGTCCGCAGCGCCTCGCCTCGGAGCCTTGGCAGCCCTCTCGGCGGGGCTCTCGTCCAGAGGCTTCCACTTTGGGGCGGCCGCTGCAGGTCCAGCACCGCGAAGCCCAGCGCCCCCGTCGGCCTGGGCAGCTAGACGGCCCTTCAGGGCTGCCAGGCGGCCGCCGAGGAGCTCCCGCATCTCCGCGTCGGGTCGGCAGCCAGCGGGCGCGCCCGCCGCGGCGGCGGCGGCGGCCTCGAGCGGGGTCTCCCCGCCGGCAGCCCCCTTGACCCGGACGCCCGCGGCGGGTGGCCTCTCGGCCCCAGGTGCCGCCGCGGCGGGCGGCCCGTCCCGCGCGGGCGGCCCAGCCGGCGCCGTCGCGGCGGAGGGCCCCGGCCGAGCGAGGGCGGCGGCAGGCTCGCGCCCCCCAGGTGCAGCCGCGAGCGCGTCCGCGACCTCGAGGACCTCGGCAGAGAGCCCGAACTCGTCAACCTCGGACTCGGCGTCAAGCTCGCCTCCTGGCCCAGCCTCCACCTCGTCGTCGAACGGCTGCGGACCCAGCCCATCAGGCCAGCTCGCAGCAGGGTTGAGGCGCCAGTAGCTCAGGAACAAATTGCCAATCGAATCCATGATCGTGAACTCATCGACGTGCGTAATCTCCACATCATGCGCTGTCTCTGCTGGACATATGGCGGCGGACTCGTCGCGACAGAAATGCAGCGGCCGCTTGAAGCGCCTCGCGCCTGCGGTGCCCGCATTCTCCTCGTACCACTGCAAGTGCTGATCAGTGCAGAACATGAACTCCGCGCGAGTGAACTGGCCGTGCTCGTTCGGCGCGGGCAGCGCCAGGATGCGGTAGGCGGCCTGGCCCTGATCAGCGTCGAAGTCATCGTAGCGCGAAGCCTCGATGTAATCGCCAGCGCGCAGGCGGCGAGGTTCGTCAGCGAAGCCGCCAGCAAGCTCGCCAGCGGGATCCTCCTCCTCCTCCTCCGCCATGCGGCACGCTGGCGCGGGCTTCCGCCAGCTCGCGCTCGCGCGCTCGAGCGCGCTCGGTGCTCGCAGAAACGGGTCGAGCAAGAAAGCTGCGAAACAACATCGGCGATTCAGGGGGACCCCCGAAATTTCACAATGACCAGCTGTCATCAATCTGACATATTTGTGTATGTATGTATGTCTGTATGTATGTATGTATGTCTGTTTGTATGTATGTATGTATGTATGTATGTATGTATGTATGTTTATTTGTATGTATGTATGTATGTATGTATGTATGTATGTATGTATGTATGTATGTATGTGCGTGTGTGTATATATTCATATATATATATGAATATATATATATATATATATATATATAGATATAGATATATGTAGATATGTAGATGACATATCCGCCTTCTGGGTCTTCGCAGCGTCCAAAACGGCCCAATGGGCCCCCAATGTCGCCCAAAGACGGACCAAGAGGTGCCCCAGAGGGCGTGAAGACGGCCCAAAAGGGCCCCAAAACGGCCCCAGAGAGCCCCGAAACTGCCCACAAGAAGCCGCAAATGCCCCCCGAAGGCCCCCCAGAGAAATCAACGAAAGCTATAGGAGATCCCCAAGAAGGCCATTGAAGCACCCCACGACGGTCCTAGATGGCTTCAGAAGAGTTCTGGAGGGCACCTGCCCGCCAAGACGGCCCAAGAAGCCCCCGGGACGGCCCAAGAGGGCCCCAGGACGGCCCAAAAGAGCCCCCCAAACGGCCAGGCGTCGTTTTCCGTGCGCTCGTTGCGCTCACGCCAGCCCGCCTGTCTTTCCCGTGCTTCCTGTCTTTCCCGTATTTCTACCACACACTCTCTCTCTCTCTCTCTTATATATATATATATGCATATATGTATAGATCTCTCTCTCTCTCTCTCTCTCCCTCGCGCTCTCTCTCTCTCTCTCTGTCTCTCTCTCTCTCTCTATATATATATATATAGATATATACCCCTTCCCCCCTCTGCCTTGTTCGTCGACCTCCACGTTCGTGGCATCCGATGGCCATCCTCATTCGCCCGCTCCTTCGTCTGGACTTTCTCCCCGTTTCTCCCCCCCCTCCCCCCTTCCGCCTCGTCAGCCCCCCCGCTCATCCGTGCTCCTTCCCGCTCCTCGTTCATGGACACATGTCATCGCGACACTTTGATGCGTCGTCGTTTGCCGGCACCTTCGCGCGTGGAAAATCATCATCCCTCCCCCGCCCCTGCGCACAAGCGTGCAAGCGCATCGGGCGAACGCGCTATCAGCAGGGACCAGGGATATCATAAACATGAGCCGTGCCCGCCCAGGCCTCGAGGTCCCCCCTGCTGAAACAAACGATGATTGATTGCTTTGCCAGGGAAGCGTCTGGAACAAGGCGCATGGCGCGAAGCGCCAATGCAGTCCTGTATATATATATATATACATATATAAAAGTATATATATATAAGTATATGTGCGTTTGCATATATACGTATATTAATAGGTGATATACACACACCTCTCTCTGTGTCTCTATCTCTCTGGCTCCTTTTTCTTCTTTGTTTCTCTATCTCTCTCTCAACGGTCCCCCTGCTGCTGCTGCTGCTCCTCCTCCTCCTCTCCTCCTCCTTCTCTCGCTCCCCCTCCTTTTCCACCTCCCTCATTCCCTCCCTTCCTCATCTTTCTTCTTAGTGTGTATACAGTATACATATATCCCCACTCTGCCACCTGGCCGGGCGATAGCGAACTTGGCATCTTGTCGTCGACGGTGCACAATGCGCTGCGAGAGTGGGACGGGGCGCGCATCGTGCGCGAGAGGGCGACATATCGCTCTCGCCTCGGCGCCCTGCGGATTCTTTCGGGGAATTGAGCTCCCGCTGGGACGCGGCGTACGTTTATCGCATGCCAGTTCGTCGACGCTGGAGTGAGGGAACACAGTGCTCTCGCCCCGGCGCCCCGCAGATCTCTTCACAAGTAGCGCCCTCGCCTCGGCGCGACGTCTCATTTTCGCTTGCCAGATTTGGGGGCCCCGCGCGAGCGGGCGGCTAGTCAGCCTCGCCCAACCTCCGTGCACATTTCGCTTGAAAGTGGCGCTCACGCGCGGGCGCGGCGCAGTTTTTGTTCGCCGAGCTGCATGGAAACGTCAGCGGCAACGGGGTTCGCCAAATCGTCGGAGGCGGGACCGCACACCGCCCGTTCGCTGGGTGGGAACGCGCTCCGATCCCGATGCCAGCTTGTGCCGCAATTGATTCATACGTTGTGAGAGGAAGGGTGGGACTGGGCGGGGCTCGCTGACGTGTTCGACCTGCCACACTTTTTCCTAACTCCTGGCGCCTCCTCCCTCCTCCCTCCTCCCTGCGTCCTTCAGCCCTTCCTCCTCCTCCTCCTCCTCCTCCTCCTCGTACCTTCTCCTCCTTCTCCAGCTCCTCCTCCTCCTCCAGTTCCTCCTCCTCCTCCTCCTCCTTCCCCCCCTCTTCCTCCTCCTCCTCCTCCTCCTCCTCCTCCTCCTCCTCCTCCTCCTCCTCCTCCCCCCTTTGTGCGGCGCTCCGAGGTCGGTGATGCTGGATATCTCTGGCGGCGACGGGTTGGCGTCCTTCGGTGGGGTGGGGTGGGGGGGGGGGGGTCGAGGAGAGGAGGAGGAGAGAAGGAGGAGGAAAGGAGGAGGAGGAGGAGGAGGAGGAGGAGGAGGAGGAGGAGGAGGAGGAAGTTGGAGCGTCGGAGGGGGGCGCGGGTCATCCCAAACCAGGCCGGTCTACCGTACTCGCGCGCGCGCGCTCGCGCATCGTCGTGCTTGGTCAGGTTGCGCACGTGTACATGCAACACAGAAGAGGATAGACGGAGGGCGAAGAGGTCGGAACGGCGGGGGGAAAGGGTGGAGCGGGAAGCCCAGTCCTCAGTCAGAACCTTGGAATCCTGGACCATGCACGTCACGCTCTGGCTCGTTGTGGACTCCAGGGGCCTCTGCAGACGTGCGTGTCGATCGGCTCTGAAATAGGCCGTAGCCGCGGCGCTCGCGTCAGCCGCCGGCGCATTCCACCGTCTCGCCCGCAGCTCAGCACGTCGCGCAGCCCTTTTGATGTGCCGCCGCCGCAGCATCTCGGCGCCGCGCCCGACGATGTGGGGAAGCATGGAGACTAGCGGCCCGCGCAGCATGAGTATCAGCGCGATCCCGCCCAACATCATCTCCAGGTTCACCTATACCTGCGGCTACATCAGCACGAGCATCATCTCCACGACGGTCTGCGGCTCCGATAGGTCGAGCACCCACTCCACGACCATCTCCATGGGGGAGAACCGCCCCAGAACTTCCGCGGGCGTCAGCAGGGAGACAGTCGGCTCGACCTCCGTCGGCGGCTGCACAAGGACCACGGCGCTCGTCAGCAGCCTCACGACGATCTGCATCGGGGCCCGCACGACAACCATCGCCACGTCGGCCTGCGACTCTGGGCAGAGGATCGGCGCGCCAACCCCGAAGGTCGGCAGCGGATCCATCACGGGAGTCACGATCAACCGCAGTTGCGCGACGATCTGCGGCAGCTCCGCCAGCGGAGGGGCGCACCTCCATCGTCTGGTCCAACAGGTCCAGCGGGCGCTCGAAGGGATATGCAACTTTTCTCATGTCCAACAGCCTGCGCGCGGAGCCTGGCGTCAGCACTCTGCTGCAGCGAGTGGGGGATCTCGCCAGCTCCATGGCCAGCGGCTTGATGAAGAACATGGTCCTGCCCATCATCAGGAAGATGAGCGTCCTCGAAACACCCTATGGGAGTCGGCGGGGCACATCCAGCTGCTCCACGACGGTCAGCGGTAGCGCCAGGACGAAGGTCGACACGGTCGGTCAAATGCGACAACCTTTTCGCGACGGTCTGCGGCAAGACCAGCACGACCGTCATCTGGGCACACGCGGAGCCTCCACGATCTTCTCGCCCTCCTGATCGTGCGAGAAGCGGCACATGTCGCCGCGCGAAAACATGCTGGTCTGGTAGAACTTGCACATATTCGTTTTGCGGGGCAGGCCGAGCTGCCTTTGCACACCAGGGAGCGCCCAAGCCTTTTCCTCCATGAGCAGGCCTTGGAAATGATCGGTCATCACCACCAGGCTCTCGGAGAGGGTGACGTGGCACTGCGCCCGCATCCGCTGCTCGCGCGCCGCGATCAAGTCGCTGGGCTTCGCGTGCTGCTGTTCGTCGCCGGCGGCCTTCTTAAGATCTGCGACTCTCAGGTCGCAAGGCTTCGCGCACTGCTGCTCACAGTCGTGTAGCTGTTGCAGGATCCGAGCTGCTGAATCATCAATCTTCTGAACGAGCGCCGTGAGGTCATCACGCTTCGCGTGCTGCCGCTCGTGTTTGAACCGACGCCGCGGGCTGCTGGAACCGCCTTCCCTCGTAGAAAATGAGGTGCTGGAGTCCATCTGTCTTGCAGGCATGAGCTGCTGGACACCTCGCCCCCGCATCGGGGCAGTCTGCGCGCGCTTGTGCGCGTGCGGTCGGTCGGTCGGTCGGTCGGTCTTGTCGCCGTCGGCCGTCGTCGTCTCGGTCGGTCGGTCGGTCGGTCCGTCGGGCAGACAGTCGTCGTCGTCGTCGTCGTCGTCGTCGTCGTCGTCGTCGTCGTCGTGTCGTCGTCGTCGTCTCGGTCGGTCGGTTGGTCGGTCGGTCGTCGTCGTCGGTCGTCGGTCGTCGTCGTCGTCGTCGTCGTAGCTCTCTCGTGGCTCCCGCATGGCTCCTGATGCGTCTGACTGGCCAGTTCGGTGAACAATTTGGTAGTGGAAATCCTGACCGAGAGGGGCATGAGTTACTTGTGGTTGGGGCGTGTAGCTGCTGGAACCACTGTCCCTCGTGAAAATTGGAGGTCCTGGAGTCCATATGTCTTGTAAGCATGAGCTGCTGGACGCCTCGCCCCCTCATGGGGGCAGTCTGCGCGCGCTTGTGCACGTGCTGTTGGTCGTCGGGGTTGTCGGCCGTCGTCGTATCGGTCGGTCGGTCGATCGGTCCGTCGGTCGGTCAGTCGTCGTCGTCGATCGTCGTCGTCTCGGTCGGTCGGTCGGTCGGTCGTCGTAGTCGGTCGTCGTCGGTCGTCGTCGGTCGTCGTCGTCGTCGTCGTTGTCGTGGCTCCCTCATGGCTCCTTCATGGCTCCCGATACGTGCACATGCGTTCTGAAATTCCACTACCAACATTATTCACCTGACTGTAAGGAAGCAGGGAGGAACAGAGACAGGAGGTGGAGGAGGAGGAGGAGGAGGAGGAGGAGGAGGAATAGTGTAAACCCAGGAGGCATTCAACGATGTTGCCATAAACCCTCCCTCCAAGTTCTCTCTTCATAGGGTCCTACTAGAATCTGTTTCCATTGGGGGAAATGCCACATTGGAAAACAAGCGTATGAGAATCCTCAATCGTGCCAAAACACCATTCCAGGGACTTCAGCGTCACGAGCCAACGTGACTGTAGCGTCCTAGCAATCTTAAGTCGTGCCAGGATGCCGTTCCTGGACCTTCAGCACCGCGAGTCAACATGACGTTTATGTCTGGACAATCCTAAATCATGCCAGAACATCAATCCTGGGACTTCGCTCTTGCAAAATCATGAAACGGTTGCAAACTTTCAAGACGAGTGTGCGCAGCGCTAAGGCGCGGTCCACATTTTGAAAAAGAGCCGCCTTCATCCTTGAAGCTGTCTTAAGCATTGGGAACGAATGTGCGCGGCACTGAGGCGAGAACAACATTTTGGAAACCGCACGCTCACAATCCGTGAATCGGTTGCAAAACATTCGAATGAACGTGCGCGGCGCTGGGGCGAAAACCACATTTGGTAAACGACCCGCTTTCCATTCTTGAAACAGTTGCAAACTGCAAGAAACATGTGCGCGCGGCGCTATGAAGACGGCTCGCCCTCCATCTGTGAAGCAATTGAGGATTCTCTTGCTTCGGGATCATGAATGGTGCGGAAATCTCAAGCGAAACGCCCGGCCCGCCCTACCGACACGTCTGGGGGTGCGACTGGGAGGAATGATCAGGAAAAGGGATGGAGGAGGAGGAGGAGGAGGAGGAGGAGGAGGAGGAGGAGAAGGAGGAGGAGAGGAGAGGGGAGAAGAAGGAGGAGGAGGAGGAGAGGAGGAGGAGGAGGAGGAGGAGGAGGAGAGGAGGAGGAGGAGGAGGAGGAGGAGGAGGAGGGGGAGGGGGAGGAGGAGGGCAAAAGCAAGAGGGGAGGCCGAGGGAGCGAGGCCGCGCGAAGCCCCCCTGGGGGGGCTGAGCTCCTCCGCGGAACCAGGGCCCTCGCACGCCCGCTGCTCGTGCTTGCAGCACCAGCCGACCTTCTCCTGGGGAGCGCCCCTGGCGCGCCTCCTCCCGCGACTCCCCCCCTCTCCCCGTCACCTCTCGTCGACGATGGCGTCCTCCTGCTGCTGCTGCTGCTGCACATCCTCCTCCTCCTCCTCCTCCTCTTCCTCCTCCTCCTCCTCCTCCTCCTCCTTCCCTTCCACCTTCTCCTCGGCCTCGGTCCGTCGTCGACTGACCGACTGACCGAGCGACCGAGCGACCGACCGACGACGAAAGTTCTGGAGATTTTGGGCGTTCTCCCTCTTGTGCTTCTCCTCCTCCTCCTCCTCCTCCTCCTCTCCCCCCTCCTCCTCCTTCTCCTTCTCCTCCTCCTCCTCCTCCTCCTCCTCCTCCCTCCACCTCCTCCCTCCACCTCCGTCCCTCCACCTCCGTCCTCGTCCTCCTCTCCCTTCCTCCCCCTTCCTCCCTCCTCTTCCTCTTCCTCTTCCGTCCCCCCCCTCCGTCGCCTGCCGCCTCCTGCTCCTCCTGCTGCTGCTGTTGCTCCTCCTCCTCCTCCTCCACCTCTTCCTCCTACTGCTCCTCCTCCTCCTCCTCCTTCTCCACCTCCACCTATATCCCTCCTCCTCCTCCTCCTTCTCCTCCTCCTCCTCCTTCTCCTCCACCTCCGTCCCTCCACCTCCGTCCTCGTCCTCCTCTCCCCTTCCTCCCCTCCTCCCCCCCTTCCTCTTCCTCCCCCCCCTCCGTCGCCTGCCTCCTCCTGCTCCTCCTGCTGCTGCTGTTGCTGCTTCTCCTCCTCCACCTCTTCCTCCTACTGCTCCTCCTCCTCCTCCTCCTCCTCCTCCTTCTCCACCTCCACCTCATATCCCTCCTCCTCCTCCTCCTCCTCCTCCTCCTCCTCCTCCTCCCCCGCCTCCTTCGGCATTGGGCAAGCGGGCCCTGGAGGTGATTCATCGTTTTCGACCTGCCAGGGCCCCTCATTGAACCGCAGGGTAATCAAACATAGCCCAGGCCGATAAACAGGTCACTGGTCTCCATCCTCCAGGATTCAGCAACAACGATCGGGTTTCTCGGACCCAGGCGCTACACCTCCTCCCCCACCTCCTCCCGCTCCTCCTCATCCTCTGTCTTCTCCTCCGTCTTCTCCTCCTGCATATCCTCCTCCTTCTCCTTCCTTTTCCTCCTCCATCCTCCCTCCTCTTCTTCCTCTTCCTCCTTTTCCTTCGTATCCTCCTCCTCCTCCTTCTACTCCTCCTCGTCCTCCACCTCCTCCTCTTGCTGCTCCTGTTGTTGTTCCTCTTGCTCCTCCTCTCCTTCCTCTCGTCGTCCTCCTCCTCCTTCCTCCTCCTCGCTCCCTCCTCCTCCTCCTTCTCTCTTCCTCGTCCTCCTTGTTTCTTCCTCTTCGTCGTTGTCGTCCTCCTCCTCTTCCCCCTCCTGTGATATATACGCTGTAATCTAGTTTATGCAGCATCGCAAGAGAGTATCATAGCGTGCACAGCATTATAAGCACGAGCGGTGGACGAAGTGGCCTCCGACCGTAATGCACTTTGGCCCAAGCCCTTTGCAGAGCCCTTCAGTCACCAGCGCAGCGGTGTGAAAAACATCGCGGTGTTATTTTTTCTTTTTCTTCGTATTGCCATCAAAGACTTCGAAGGCTTTGATAAATTTATATTGGTAGCGGAGCTGGGTTCGCCAGGCTCACGCTTCGACCTTCCATGTCCTGGCGGCGTTTTCACCAAAACGTTTCACCAGTCCATAAGCTTCGGTTGCGGAAGCCACTCGGCGGCTGATTTCATGTACTTCTCGCGGTTGAATTTCGACAACCCGTTGCCGTTCAATTTCGTAGAGCAGTCCACCGTTGATTTCTCAAGGCGGTCAACACGCTCGATTTCACAGACCTCTTGCAATTCGATTTCGCAAACCCCTTGCGGTTCAGTTTCGGCAAGATGGCGAAGACGGCGGCAGCATTAGACGTTCTACCAGAGCGAAGAGTTCCACAGCTCGACGGCACACTCAGCAAGTGGAAGGAGTACGAGAAGCGGGCGATGATTTGCATAGCGAAGCTCACGCTGGAGAAGAAGGAAGGTGAAGCGGTTCTCATGCTCAGTGCACGTCTCACCGGCGAGGCCTGGGACGAGGTGGAGGATCTTTCAGCGGACGACCTCATCGAGCCGAACGCGGCGAAGCCGCTCATGAATAGGCTACAGAGGCGATTCAAGATGGACGATCGAACCGAGCTCGCAGACGACTTCGAGGAGTAATTCTACAAGCTCAAGCGGTTCAGAAGCGAAATGCTCTTCGCCTCTCTCTCGCGAGTTCGAGCAGCAGAACGGAAGCTCAAGACGCGCGACATCGAGCTGCCCGCCAAAGTTCGAGGCTGGCTCGCGCTACGACGCGGGGGCTACAATGCGGACCAGAAGGCAGTCATCATGTCTGTGGTCGGCAAGGACATCACCCAGGAGAAGGTAATCGAGGCGCTGGAGACCACCTTCGGGCAAGAGAGCATCATTCACGAGCCGAATCACGCACGGAGAAAATATTTCGTCGGCGAAGAAGGAAATTACTACGCAGAAGAAGCTTACACTGTCGAACCGGAGGACGAACCAACGGACGACTGCGAACAGGAGTGCTGGGCGGAAGACGATGACACATGGTACGACTGCGATGAGAGCTACTACCAGCGCGAGCCCAGCGCGGCTCGCGTGCTCGCCCCTGGCGAGTATGACGAGATGTACGCAGCCTACGCGGATGCCGGGAAGCGGTTCAACGACCTGAAGCTAGCGCGAGGGTTCTACCTGGCTGTGGCGATGGTCGGAACCGGATTAAGTTCAAGCGCAGCACCTGCTGGAGCCACCGGCGGTCGAGGCAAACCATGCAGCAAAAGTTCCAAAGGGCGCGGAAAATCAGGAGGAAGGAAGGGCAGCCCAAATAAGTCATCGCCACCTGGCGCCTACGCGAGAGCGCGACCAGACAGGCCGGACCCAATGGGGCGATCCAGGGCAGCTACACGGCCAGCTCCCACGTCATCACCGTCGGCCAACTGCCTGCGGTGCGGAAAGCCAGGTCACTGGGCCAGGGGCTGCACCGAACCTCCCAACAAGAAGAGGGTTCACGCCGACGAGAGCCTCATGGTCGACGACGTCTACTGGGATGGGAAGGCCAACGACAGCAGCGCGATCCCAGCCAGCAGCGGAGTCATGGACTGTGGAGCCACCGCACTCGTGTTGGGCGCGGCGGCGGTCGAGGACTACGTGGCAGACTGCAAGCAGAAGGGCTACCCCATCCAGGATCTCAAATTCGACAAGTGTCGAAGGCCATTCCCATTCGGGAACGGCAAGGTCGAGCATGCGCAGTGGTGTGGAACCATACCGGCCAATTTCAAGCAAAAATCAGGGACGCTCTACATTTACATAGTATCGGGACAGACCTCAATCTTGTTTCCTAGGCCACTGCTTGAGGAATTCGAGGTACAAGTCGACTACGCCGAGCAGATGGTATCCTGAAGCGGTGGCGATTTCGAGACAGCCACCCCCTCTCCCCAAGGACACTGCGCCGTGGCCTTGTTAGAGGAACTGGGCGAGAACACGATTCACCAGAGGATTGGATTCGAGTTCGAGCCAACCGACGCAGCTCAGTTCCTAGACCCCAGCAACGAGACGATGAACGGCCTGGAGTTTCTGGACAACGCCTACATGGCGGACTCCAGAAGCGACGGCGAGCAATGGGAGCAGACGCTACAGCGACCTCCTTCTGAAGCTAAGCTGCTGCGGATCCTGCATGAAGCAGAGGCAGTGCCGACGGCGCGCCTCCTGAGGCAGTTTGTGCTTCACTCTGAAACCAATCGAGCCAGTCGATCTGAGCCTATTGGAACCCTGCTGGTGCTTGCAGGTACCGCCCTCCGACGAGGTCAGATTCAGCGCCGACGACGGCTAGCAGGCCGCGACCAGCTTCATTCAGAAGATCGACTCGGCAATAAAGCGCGCCAGCGACCAGTGCCTGCAGACGATGCGACGAGCAGTTCACCGGTGCGCGAAGCGACGCGCAGTTTGGGAAATCTACGCAGGAAGAGGCCAACCTCTCACAAGCATTCCGTGACCTAGGAGCGCGCGTGGAGGCCTTCGGGCCCGATGCCGGGTGGGACTTCGCCAGGGAGGACCACCAGAAGGCATTCCTGAAGAAGCCTAAGGAAGAACAGCCCGATGAGGTCTTGCTCTCACCAATGTGCGGGTCGGGTCCAACCTGCGCGAGCTCAACATCCACTGGCGTCCCGGTGGAAAGGAGTATCTCGCCGACCCGCGAGAGTGGCATTACCGAGGACATCTACAGTTCGCGGCCAAGGTCAATCGCATCCAGCAGGAGGCAGGACGTCATGCACGCATCGAACACTGGGCTCCGTCGAGGGCTTGGCATGCAGTGGCATTTAACAGCTTGCACGGCGAGTGCGCTAGGTTCGACCAGTGCATGTGCGGTCGCGCAACCGAGGGCAACAGCAAAATGGTCAAGAAGCCGACGATGATCAAGGAGAGAGCGTGATCCACCGCCGCTTTACTGTGGAAAATTGCCAACCTTTTCCTCCGGAGCCCGGGGGTCTCCCCCCCCCCTCCGAAAATCCCCCCCCCCCCCCCTGCCGGAACCCCTTCCCCCCCCCCCCCCCCCCCTCCGGCCCCCCCCCCCCTAACCCCTCCCCCCCCCCCCCCCTCCCCCCTCGAAAACCGGGGGGGTCACTACCGGTTCGAACCCCTCCCCCCCCCCCCCCCCCCTCCGGGAAAACCGGGGGGGGTCACTACCGGTTGGACCCCCCCCCCCCCCCCTCGAAAACCGGAGGGGGGTCACTACCGGTTCGACCCCCCCCCCCACGCACCGCCAGCAAACGACTCCCGGTCCCTACCACCGCTCGCATCACATCCCCCACTGTTGTTCCCAGCACCACTGTCCTCACCACCACTGTCCCCACTGGTTCCACCACCGTCCCTATTGTCCCCACCAATGCCCCCACCACTGTCGCACTGTCCCCACTGTTCCCACAACTGTTCCCACCACGGTT